GAAGTACTATTAAATTTTTATAGAAATTTTGGCATATTGAAAATTTTAATATTGTACAAACTTTTGTTAAAAATATATACTATCATGAATCTTGATGATTTTGATATCACTTTTCATTTGTCTATGACAGAGTTAAGAAGTATTTCATGGCAGCCATTACTCTCACCATGTAACTTTGGCTCTAGAGTTTGGATTCTTTGTGATATTGTTACTCCAAACTTGTAAGAAATTTCATGAACTACAACATCATAGTGACGATGAATCCCTTGAGATCTTGAATGTTGATGATAGTGATGATGAATCACACTACTAGAAATACACAGATCACCTGCAGATTTTCCTGCAGAAAAAGATTCACAGCTATATCTGCGATTTTACCTGCGACTATGTATTGTGAAATATTATTTCCTGCAAAAGTTGATGTAGCAACAAATTTCGCAGGATTCTAGAGATTTAGCTGCAATTTTTTAAATATATGAATTTCCTGCGGGTTTAACTGCGACAAATTTCGTAGGAATTAGTTATCCATTGAAACCACATCATACTCTGGAAATATCGCAGGAATTGCTGCGAAGTTTGCCGCGGAATTTGCTGTAAATCTTTCTGCGACTTTTTCTGCGAATTGTTTAGCTTACTTTAGATTTTATTTATGTTTTTACTATTAATAAATAAAATTACTAAACATATACTGATTCCAAGAATATGTTGTTGAGATATTTTTTAATTTTATATTAAATTTTAGTTTTTGTTAAGAAAGTTTTAAAATATTAATTGAGTTTTTTTTAATTATTTTTTAAAGAAAATTTATTTATTTAATACTTTTTTTATTGTTGTAAAAATTAGAAAAATAAAAAATATAAATTTAATATAATTGTAAAATATAAGCTTATTTATTTAATAATTTTTTATTGTTGTAAAAATTAGAAAAAAATAAAAAATATAAGTTTATAATATAATTGTAAAAATATAAGTTTATGATATAATCGTAATTCATAATATAAGTTTATTTATTTAATTATATTTTTACTATTATTAAATAAAATTGTAAAATATTATTGACATATTAAATTTTTAGATTTATATATATAATATAAAAAAAACCTATTTTAAAATAATTTTTACAACAAGTTTTTTTTAGAAATATTAATAGGTGTTGTGTATTAATTTTTTCAAAATAAAACACTTATTCTATTTTGATACCTTAACTTTAAGGATATATGTTTAAATTATTTTTAAAATTTAAATTTAATCTCATTGATTTAATATACATTTTTTGTTATAAAAAATTATATTTGATCTCTTGCTAATTATTAGAAAATTTTAATTTTAGAAATTCTACTTTAATTATAATGTGCTAAAGGAAGTTACATTTTTGATCTCTAGTTAAAATATTAAATTTTATAAAGAACTTTAAATTTATAAATTAATATTACTCTTATATATGCTTATTTTGAATTAAAATAAATTATATTATATTTATTTTATTTTATTTTATATTTTAGTAAAAATAGAATTTATTAAATATTAAAAGTATTTTAGTTTTATTCTTATTTTCCTTTAAATTATTTTATTTTATTTAAAATATTTATTTGATATTTTAAATTGAGTTTGAGAAATAAATGTTAAGAATTTGTATTTGAGTTTACTTTGAATATGGGCTTGAAGATTGGACCTCCCAAATTTTCTTCATATCCCACGTGAAATTTCCTTTCCCTTCAAACGAGACAAACCTTCCTTTTCCAAAAACCCTACAGCCGCCGCAACTCATTCCTTCGCCACTTTCCGACCACTATGACTCCCAATCGGTGTCGGTCCATGAGTTGAAGATGTTGAGGTATGGATCGTGGAAAGCTACTTTGAAGGCTAGTAGTGCCACCCTGTCTGATGGTGGACACGACTGAACAGTGGCGGTGAGTGATAGTATTAGTATCAACAGTGTAACAGTTGTAGCTTTTAAAAACTTAATGTTATTCATTATGGTGGTTAGATCTTTTGGCTGACACCAAACCGAACTTGTTATGATTTGCCTAACAGTTTGGATTTCTTAGCTATTGATTTGCTTGACATCAGGGTTTTTTTTGTATGACTTCTAGCTGTTTGATGAAATGCACAACTTAAAAAAAACTTCATTTGTCTCCTGAGTCAGAGGTTCTGCAATAGAAGCTATGGGCATGTCTCTTCCATATAGGTAAGTACATTGATAGATTTTTGGCGCTGCCTTTTGAACATGAATTTTTTTTTCTGAATCTCTTTTCCTGATTATTAGGTAGTTAATTTTAACATGTATTTTCAGATGTGTGCTCCAATGTAAGGAATAAAGTAAAATTATTGTGTAGTTAATTGTTGCTAAGCATAGTCTGGCTGTGTTGTTGGCATAAAAGTTCTACTTCAAAACCCTTTTAAGGTAAATTGTACATGTGCAGTTACAAGCAATAACACTGTTAAGAGTTTGGATACTTTCATGTTGGAATACCTAGTAACATTAGTAAGAACACATGCAGCACTGTGGCCATAAAAACACATTCAAAACTTCTTCATATAATATCAGAAACTATATGAGTTACATGATGTACAAAATTACATATGTGCGCAGAAGTGCGCAAGGACTACAACCCTGAAAATCACTGTCAGGTGATGATGAATTTGCTGCTACTGGATTTCTCTGTGTCATTTTGTTAGTGCAACTGATCATATGAAAATGAGTATAATCAGATTCAAACAATGTATAAAAATACTGATCAGCTGCCACAGTTTTAGTGAGCTAGCTAGCTTTGCAGCTTCATGGTGACTTTCCTATTTATGAGTCATAGTAGGAAGTTTCAAATGTAAAATAATGTTGATCCTTATTTGTTCTTTCTATAGCTCATCTACACTTGCCGAGGATCTAGTAAAGTTGGACGAGTGTCAGTTAGCCGAAAAATATCTTGAGTTGTTGAGGATGGACTTGAAGCCGGAAAAAAGTTAAGTTTGACTTAAAACACTGTTAGTTTTTGGTTTTAAATGCTAGTTTATGAATTATACTTTTGCAGGGGAACTATTTTGTTGACATTTTATTTGGTGGTACGGACAGTGTACAGTTGAAAGGACCCAAGATTACAGCTGAACTTAAGTTAAATAAGTAATACTTTCTACTGTATTAGTAGCTGTATTTTTTTTTTGTAAAAGCATTAGCAATATATGTGTAAACTTGTCTGTTATTTGTCATGTAGATTTTGAAACCAGCTTTTTCCTGTGCTTATGGAAACAAAATCTTGTGTACTGGAGAAGCTCAACATATAATGCAATGAGGCTATACTTCACCACAATCAGTGCTTTGATATTTGGTAATGTATTTTGGGATGTTGGTTCAAAAAGGTAATATTTCCTAGTTTTCATTTATTGTAAAGGAGTTATTTCATGAATGTAACTTTAAATCAAATAAAAAAGGGTAAGCGGCTTTATTCAGTTTGACTGACACAGTAACTATCAATGATATTATGTAGAGCATCAAATCAAGAGCTGCTTGTGCTTATGGGAGCTCTTTATTCTGCTTGCTTGTTTCTTGGTGTAAACAATGCTTCTTCTGTCAGCCGATTGTTTCAATAGAAAGGACAATATTTTATAGAGAGAAAGCAGCAGGAATGTACTCTCCATTACCATATGCAGCAGCCCAGGTGTAGGTCTCATTACAACACTTAAAATTATCACATGGCTAATTTTTCAGCTAAATTATTTACTTATAATGATTGTTTAATCTGACTTTCAGGGGCTTATAGAAATCCCATACATTGTTGTTCAGACATTGGTGTTTGGCTTGATAACATATTTTATGGTCAACTTTGAGAAGACTGCGGGTAAAATATCAACTTTCCATATATTAATATATTGGTTGTTTTATATGTTTGGAGATTTCACTTCTAATGTATAATTGTAATTATTGCAGGGAAGTTTTTTCTCTATCTATTGTTCATGTTCCTAACCTTTACCAACTTCACCTTTTACGGAATGATGGCAGTTGGTTTTACAGCTTCACAACAGCTAGCTGTTGTTATTTCTTCAGCTTTTTACTCCCTGTGGAATCTTCTTTCCGGTTTTCTTATCCCAAAAGCGGTGAGTAATGCTATACTGAGAAATTTTTAAAGTTTCATTCTTTTTAAATCTTTCAAGTTGTTACTGAGATGCCTTACATTTAGAAAGTTGCTTTCCAAACTTAAATAAATTAGTCATTAATTTAACAGTGTCATAATAATACTGTAGTTCAAACAGTATATTTTACAATTGGAGTGTGTAGTGTTATTTTCACAGATGGAGTCTAAAATCCAATTAATTTTCCTGACTAGTTAAACCACCAAAAGTTTCTTTTCTATCGGCTTCTAAAAACTAATATTGTGATAATGATTATGGATGTTTCAGAATATTCCGGGTTGGTGGATTTGGTTCTATTATATCTGCCCTGTTTAATGGACATTACGTGGTATTATAACATCTCAGCTTGGTGATGTGGAAACAACGATTGTGGGGCCAGGATTCAAAGGCACTGCGAAAGAGTATATATATGTAACTCTTGGATATGATCAGAAAATGAACAGAATATCGTCTGTAGGTCTTTCAGTGATAGTCCTTATTGCATTCAATATCATATTCTTTGGTAGTTTTGCTACATCTGTTAAAGTTTTTAATTTCCAGAAGAGATAAAAGATATGAATTGTCATTGTACGAGGTCTACTTATTGTAGATGACATGAGACTATCTGTCATTCTTTGGTAGTTTCTCTTCTTTAAACCCAGTACTGGTTCCATCGAATGATTCAAGTTTTCCTGGTGCTATTGGTGCAATTAAAAAGGAAGTAGGAGGCCAACGTCCTCCTGCGGAATTAAATGTGGCCAACACTTCTGAGGACAAATCTTCTGGTTAGGACATTTATAATTATAATTATGTGTTTTAACATTTTTGATGTAACAATGACGATTTTTCATCCACTAATTGTATGACAACTTTTGAGACTGGTAGCTCTCTCTTTAATGACATGGAAGACAGTTGTTGCAAACATACCCTATGGTGGAGCAAAGGGAGGAATCGGCTGTAACCCGAAGGATCTGAGCATCAGTGAGTTGGAACGTATCACTCGTGTTTTCACTCAAAAAATTCATGATCTCATTGGCACTCATAGAGATGTTCCTGCTCATGATATGGGAACCAATGCTCAGACAATGGCTTGGATGCTTGATGAGTATTCTAAGTTTCATGTTCATTCACCGGCAGTGGTGACTGGAAAGCCTATTGTAAGTGTATCATAATATTGCATAATCATTACCAACTGTAGCTTTAAGGTCCTATTTGAGTGGTCATAGTTTTCTTGTGTACACAATGATAGTTTGTCTATCCAAGATTCAAGAAATCAGTTTGAAATATTTGGCTTGTAGGATCTTGGAGGTTCCTTGGGAAGAGAGGTCGCCACTGGACTAGGAGTGGTTTTTGGAACGGAGGCTCTATTTGCTGAATATGGGAAATCAATTTCTGATATGAAATTCGCCATCCAGGTATTTATTCACCACCACCACCACCATACCATGATATTTAATATACCACTTTTTCAATATAATGTTGTCAATTATGGATAGTGGAAAATAGCTGTTTTTTTATGCTAAATAGTGTATCATGGAACAATAGTGCTGTGTTCAAATACCGCTATACAATATTGTTACAATGCTGCTAAAGCCAATTTTTAACAACACTACATCTATGTGATTGATTATTAATGTTACATTGTGTAGGGGTTTGGAAATGTGGGCACTTGGGCTGCAAAGTCAATTTTTGAGAGAGGTGGCAAGGTGGTAGCAGTGAGTGACATCAGTGGTGCTATTTGTAATCCAAACGGGATTGATATTGCGGCTCTTCTGAAACACAAGGAAGACAATGCAAGTTTGATGGATTTCTCAGGAGCAGATGCTATGGATCCAAAGGACTTGCTCACCCATGACTATGATGTTCTCATCCCATGTGCTTTGGGAGGTGTTCTCAACAAGTATGTTTCATCTATGTTACCTTAGTTCGTAGATAATCATCGTTAAAGTATATTGTCGGTGTAACTTCAACTTTGTCTATTGTTCATAAGGGAAAATGCTGATGATGTGAGAGCAAAGTTTATCATAGAAGCTGCAAATCATCCAACTGACCCTGATGAGGTAATGTTCTTGCTCAACCAATGTAGAGTTACTTAATGTTATAAAATTGAAATGATTTGTTTGTTGCAGATTCTGTCTAAGAAAGGAGTTATTATATTACCCGACATTTATGTGAATGCTGGTAGAGTGACTGTAAGCTATTTCGAATGGGTCCAGGTAATGATCAACTCGATAAGTGAAAATTTCAGAAGCTAATTAACAGTTCTTGAAAACATGTTTAAGAGATTTTAAATTTTCCTATGTGACTTCTGCAGAATATTCAAGGATTTATATGGGATGAAGATAAAGTTAACCTTGAGCTAAAAAGGTATATGACTAGAGCTTTCAAGAACATAAAAAGGAATGTGTAAAACTCACAACTGCGACTTGCGAATGGGAGCTTTCACTCTTGGACTCAACCGTGTCGCTCGCGCTACGCTTTTGAGAGGTTAGGAAGCTTAGAGAAACATGAACATCAATCACTACTAGCTATAAGCTGTAGTTGGAGTTTCTTAGTTTTTGCATCGTTATTTGTCTCTTCTATTCTTTTAATTCATTTGTTATCTACTTTGAAATTTCATTGTTTTTTCTTATTAATTTGGTTGGACAAGTGATTATTAGTAACTTGATTATGTCATTTTTAGTAATGTAACTCTAGAAGTAATTATTATTGACTTTAAAAACTTGAATGTGATTAGTGTTGTATTGACTTATTCAAATTAGATTTTTATTTTTATATTATTATTAAATACATCAATTATATTATTTTAAATATGAATTAGACACAATTAATAATAAAAATTAAAAACATGAGAGAGAAATTACCTACGAAATTAATTATATTATTTCAGTTTGCTGCGATTTTTCCTGCAAAAGTTAAAGTTACTTGCGGTATTACCTGCGAATTTAGCTGTTTTACTTGCGACATTGCTCTGCGACTTTTTACTGCGACATTTTCCTGTGACTTTTTACTGCGACTTTTTCCTGCAACTTTTTCCTGCAACTTTTTCCAGCGACTATTTCCTGCGGATTTACCTGCTATGTTAATTACCCACAGAGGTTTTAGCTGGAAACGAATAATCTCAGGAAAAATCGCGGGAAACGTGTTTTCTGCGGTAATTTTGTCAAAATCCGCAGGTAAATCTGCAGGAAAACAGAGTAATTTTAATAGTGTCAGTTGAGATTTTGAATGAATGTCTTAATAAGAAGAAGACTAAACCAAAGTCACCATTTGTTTCTCCTAGACCATGTAAGGAAGTTAGAGGTATGTAGATTTAGTTTTACTGTTTTTTCTTTTATTTATACATAATTTTGTTGGTGATATTTTCTATTAATATTTTTTATTCAAAACGAATTAACAGAAACATGCATGTAGTTTTTGTTTTGTTAACGGAAGCTAGAGTTGAAACCTGAAAACATCGAGCATCATGATTACTTGTTTGTTTTACATTTCACATATACATGCAGTTATAAACAAAGAAGATTTAGTTTTTAAAGTTCATGTTTTCTGAAGGGAAAATTAATCTATCTATTTGAACTAATTAGTTCATGTTGTCTTTGAACTAATTCCTTTCCATCAAATGGGGGGAAGAAATCTTCAGATTTGGTTGTAATTGTTCTTTATTGGGTAATTAGACATGTGATTTTAAGACAGAATGAATAGTACTATTAGTTTTGCTATATGGTAACTTCCATTCCTAATGTAACCTTTTGTTATCATTCTAGTTCTAACCATTCAATTTCAGCTTCAGGTTTATCATTCCATAATATGGACAATTCTCAAGCAACACTACTAGAAAAATGGAACTTTACGACACATTACTTGCGATGGTTCCTCTAAAACTGTCCTTAATTATAATTAATGACAGGTATCACGACAGTTTCTTTAAACCCTAACAATTCAATCCCATGAAAAATCTTTAAACAAATTTGAATCACACAGGAACCAAATTAAAATGAAAAGATAAATAAATAAATAAAAAAGGAAAAAAAACCTGAAAGAGATGACCGTCGACGAGGGAGCTCGGAGGGGAGACGGCGAGCACGGTAGGAGGGGCGACAACACGAGCAAGGAGGAAGAGATGACCGTCAACGACGACGGCGCGAGCACGGAGGGGAGGGAGGAAAGGCGACAGCGACGGCGACGGCGGAAGTGAGAAGATGAAGGATCGTCGTAGGAGGTTTTGGTTCGTCGTAGGAGAGAGGAAGAAGATATAAAATCAATACTGCGCAGGTTTTGGTTAAAAATATTTTAAACTACTTTTTAAATCGGTGGATTGCCCAACCGATTTAAAAGACATGGGCCAATGAACTTTTTACATCGGTGGGTCACTAAAACCGATGTAAAATCTAAGTTTTTTGTTTTTACTTATGGGGGACTTTTTAAATCGGTTGGTAAAGTACCCGATTTAAAAACCCTTTTAAATTATTTTTTAAATCGGTGGATATCCCAACCGATTTAAAAGCCATGGGCCAATGAACTTTTTACATCGGTGGGTCACTATAACTGATGTAAAATCCAAGTTTTTTGTTTTTTTTCTTTTGGGGACTTTTTAAATCGGTTGGTCACTATAATCCGATTTAAAAAATCTTTAAATAATTTTTTTTCAAATTTTTTTAATATTGTTTTTTAACTCAGTTGCAATTATAACCGATTTAAAAAACCTTTAAATAATTTTTTTCAATTTTTTACATCGGTTGTTTTAATGGCCCGATGTAAAAGATTTAATAATTTTTTTTCTTCATGTTTACGATACTGCCACCGTGTTTATAACTTCACGTTTTACATCACTTCTAGTGAATATCCCGATGTAAAAACATTTTTTCAAAAATCTTTTTTTTAGAAGTGTAATTTATTTTATTTTAATTTAATTATTTTTTCAATGTTTAAATGCATATGCAAACATTTATCAAAATTATATATAGTTTAACAATTAAAAATAAAATGTAGAAGTGGAACACATATTTACGCTACACAATTATATATTGTCTATTTATTTTTTATTTTTTATACATTTTATTTAACAAAATAGCTCATTGCAACTACAAAAGGTAGCATTATTTGCATTACATAACATATGCGTAAAAAAATTATAATGTAAAACTAAAATGATACACTTAAAAAGAAACATCCAAATATTTCTCAACGTAATTGTTATGCTTACAAACATTCACAATAATTTAGTACACATCGTCTTCCTCGTGGAGGCAAGCACATATCTATAGGACAATCTTTGAATGTTACACAAGGAATGAAAGCTGAGATGTCAAGTAAAAATAAAAACAATATTATATTTTAGTTATTTAAATTTTGTCATAAAATGTTATATATAAAATGTAAAAAAATAATAATTATGAATAACATATAAAAAAATGAAAATGGTGTGAAAATTAACTTACATCCGACAGGTTTACGTGGTGCTGTAAAAGCAAAAGAAATTCTATTAAAAGGTGATGAAATATTGTGCTTAAAAAGTAAAAATAAAAAATTTAAATTTCGTCGAAAATTAACTTACAACTAGTTACAATAATTAGTAGAGAAAGAAAAATGATCAAAATATAAAAGAATTTGAGACTTTGAGCCATATTTTTCCTATATGAAACGAGAAAAAAATTGTTTTATATCTTTTTAGATTAAAAGCTTCGTATTTTGTTGGTTTTAAATACATTAATTTACCACATAAGAGTTGCAATAAACCATTTTAAAAATGGAATTTTTGCTAAATGTCTCTATGGTACATCCATATGTTGTTTTTATCTCTTTAAATTGTTAATTTTTTAATTTAACATTTAATATATTTTTTCTTCTTAACCTTTCATGATAGTCAAGGAAATAAAATCTCTTAACAAAAGAATACAGATAAATGATTAAATAAGTTTATTATTGAAATAATAAGTCAAGGAGGTGATAAGACATATCTGCAATGGGAAATTGTGCCACATTGAAAACTTTTCTGCATGACGTATCAGAAAAAACAACTAAAGAATTCTGCTCATACTTTTCCAAACTTACAATGCTGCCCCTAGGAATACTAGTAGGCTCCTCCAATCACCAGAATTGGTTTCCGATGAATCATAACATTTCTGTCCTACTGAGAGGGTACACAGATTCTCAAAAGCCCGTGTGAATCCTTCAATACTCTCAAACTAAAGAAATTTCCATTAATTTTTATGTTAAACGTCTCTTTCAAAACAAGCAATTGGTTCTCCCAAAGATCATTGCCTCATCCATCTTAGATTGATCTCTAATAGTATCATCAATACACATGTACACACTAACTCATTTCGATATGAAATCAAAGAATTCAAGATTCCAAGCATGACATATATAACATGACCTATGTACATCAAAGCAAAGTATGGTTCTTAGAGTTCAAGTTCTTTAGAAACTTATCTCTTGAATCTCACTTGTCAATTTTCAAGATACTTGTTGCAAAAGTAAACCAATACTTTGAACACCTCTAATACACATCAAAGAAGCTTCTTGGATGCTTGGAACCAAATGAAAACCTCTAGGACATAATCTAGCTCCTTCTTGCAAATTTTGTCAAAAGTGACAAAAATGGAAACTCTGCCAAATGATGCTACATTTGAGAAATTTTTGTTGGAATAGTTTAAGGATGTTATTTAGAGCGTGTTTGAAGTGTTGTATGATTTTTAAATGGACAGAATCAAGACATGGCATTGAAAATGCAGAAAGTCAAACATATGAGGTTTTGATAGTTGACTTTCTAATTTTGGTGGTTTTAGATGCAGATGAAGGTTTGAACACCTTTAAGGGATGATTTGTGATGTGTTTGTATGTTTGTTATTTAGAACGTGTTTGAAGTGTTGGATGATTTTTAAATGGACAGAATCAAGTCATGGCTTTGAAAATGCAGAAAGTCAAAGATATGAGGTTTTGATAGTTGACTTTCTAATTTTGGTGGTTTGAGATGAAGATGAAGGTTTGAACACTTTCAAGGGATTATTTGTGATGTTTTTGGATGATTGTTTGAGTGGTTCAAGCTCTGGTTTTGAAAATTCTAAGTTTACTATTTGAAACTTTGAAAACTTGAAGTAAAGGAGAGAGAGAGTCTTTGGTATTGTTTTGGTGTGCTTGAATTGATGCAAAATGACCTTTATTTATAGGATAACTGATTGTTTTGGATGAATAATGTAGGATGCAATAACATGCTATTGTCCAATGGATATAGCCATGTAGCTTTAACTTAAATGCTAAGGTACAATTAGTCTTCTATAGCATGACTAGATTCTTGCTCAATTGCCATTTACAGGATTGAACACTCTTTGTTCTTGACCATATCTGAACTGGTGTGGCTCATTTCTTGCCAATTCAACTCTTCAAATAAATTCCAAATGAAAAACTTGA